AAAAAAAAAAAAAAAAAAATGAAGGAAGTACTGATAGATGCCATAACATGGATGAACCTTAAAAACATGCCAGTTGTTGTAGTTATGAACATTTAAAGTTACTTGCTTTATATATTGCTCTAATAAAAATGTGATTTAAAAAAAAAACATGCTAAGTGGAAGAAGCCAGTTACAAAGACCACATACTATATGATTTAATTCATATGAAAGTCCAGAAAGAGGAAGGCTTTAGAGACAGAAGGTTGATTATTGTTGCTTAAGGCTAGGGGTGGTAAATAATGGAGGGGGGGGTGATAGCTAAAAGAACAATATTTCTTTTTGAGGTGATGAAAGATTCTAAAATTGGCTTGGTGCTGGCTGTACATATCTGTGAATATACTAAAAGCCACTCAATTGTATGGTGTGTAAAGTATATCTCAATAAAATTGTTTAAAAAATAGTCCCTTGGGGCACCTGGGTGGCTCATTCGGTTAGGCGTCCGACTTCAGCTCAGGTCATGATCTCACGGTTTGTGAGTTTGAGCCCCACGTCGGGCTCTGTGCTGACAGCTCAGAGCCTGGAGCCTGCTTCGGATTCTGTGTCTCCCTCTCTCTCTGCCCCTCCCCTGCTCATGCTCTGTCTCTCTCTGTCTCAAAAATAAATAAAAACATTAAAAAAAATTTTTAATAAATAAATAATAGTCCCTTGATAATCTAAAATTTTTACAGAGGAAAATGAAATAGCACTTTCAGTACAAAGCATGTTACAAATGTCTATCACCGACCTATCCAATATGCACATCAGCCTTTCTAGGAAGAATGGTTTACAATTCTTTTGTCTTCATAGGAAGTGCTCGAAAACTAGAGTTAAGGATCAGACTATTCTGTAGGAGCGTCCTGCTTGATCACTGGATACATCAAAGTGATTCTGCTTTTTGGTTGACGCGTATATTAAAACCATGGCCAATGGTGAATCAGGCAAGATTATTGTATATCATCTTTGGACCAATATCTCCTCAAGATGGTGAGCATCCATTTTTCAGGAATGTATGTTACAAAACTGGTTAATTACTCTTACTTTAGGAAGCATATCTTTTTGTACCTGCTCAGTTTCATCATTCCTATTGGCTATACTGTGTTTCATGATTTCATAGATGTACACTACATTGGCTTATGCATAACTTAAGACTGCAGGCCATTACCAAATATATTCCAGTCATCTTTGGTATACCTAAAAATCACTACATTTTATTTCTAAACATTACCTTAACTCAAGATTATGTTTGCTGCTGGAGGGGACTCATAATGCCTGTAAAGCACAGTAGTCGAAATTGATGTTTTGGGTGCATAATATGATTATTTGAAATTTTGCCTTTCTAGTTAAGTTTTGCTTAGGTTAACGTTAATATTAGCGTGCAGTTCTTTGTTTCATATTGTCTCTGTCAGGAAGTAACTAGTTTAAAGTACACTGAATAGGAACAGGAAGCCAATCTGGGATAAAATTTTGTTCTGTGTAATTCACAAAGCAAATTGGTCATAGATAAATAATCAAAAACTGACTGGATTACTGTGTTTTGGTATAAATGTTTGAAAGATACTCAGATACAGCATGCTCTCCTTTCAGAAGGACATCAATAGATTTGACATGATTTTACTAAGATTACATCATTTACTACAATTTCTGTTACAGGAATAGCATTATCTTTGAACTAGAAGCACTATTCTGCTTGGCGAAACTACCTTTACTTCATTTAGCTATTGTTCCTATGCTTCATCACGTCATCCAGAGACATTCAAACTTAGACTATTATCAAAATTGACTTTCATTATGAAAGTTAAAATGAAAGTAGCATATATAAGCAATGGGATTCCATTATGCAATCCAATTTCCTTTTTAAACAATCCATGAAGTCTTTATCATAAATCCAACTATTCTGTCATAGCCTAGTTTTTGTTTCAATTATCTAGGACAGGTGGTTTGGCAGAAAATGATAGAAGAACCTACAGATGAATCCAGTCTGAAAGGTTTGGCTGATGCCATTAAATTACTATATGACACAGGCACGAAAGAATGGACAGCAGATGATGTTATCAGTCTTATAGATGAACTATCAGGTAAAAATACATATTTACCACATAGAATAATAGAAATGTATTCTCAGAATATGGTTATAAAATTGTAAGGATAATTCTATGGGTAATAAATGAATTACCTATTCGAGATCACTAAATGTTCTAAAATATTTAAAGAGTTTGACATTATGTTTGAAGAGAATGCATATCATCAATGTACTTTCCTCCACTTGCCAATACATATATATTTATTACCATTACTGTTTGAAAGTTTCACGAATTTAATTATAGCTCAATCATTCCCATTTTGTAAATTCTCACAAACACCCTCCTAGGCTGTGTAAGAAGAAAGCCCTCTCCTATTGGCAAGGAAAAGGAAAACAATTTTTCCCATTCTTGCAGAATTCTTCGGATTCTAAAGTTTATAAGATTTCTTTCCTTACACAGAATTAGACTATCATGCCTTTTGATCTATATGTAGGAGAAATGCTTTGACCATATTACTAGAACATTTGTAAAAGTCACCATAACTTGGCAATAATCTCTGTCTCTAGTTGAATGCTATACAACTAAAGCATTTTTTCTGAGCTTTTCCCTTAGCACTAGTTGTATTTCCAACAAGGTGATATAATATTGCATGTTCTTAATGGTGTTTACTAGAGCTATTATATAATTTTTCACTAAATAACTGTTCTCCCTCTAATAAAAGTGGTTCCCCGTGAATGGCTTCTAGAGAATAATGCACGTCTCCTAATCCTAAGTGGGAACAACATCTGTTTCACTTTCATGGCTAGTAAAGCTGTGAATGGACGGGCCATTGAATTGGCAAAGCTGATAGTCTTTTTGGCTTTGGTAAGTAAACAAGTTTTTCTCTAGTAAGTTAACATTACAGTTTACTTACTAGGGAGCTGCCCTGAAGGAACTGAAATATGTTCAAAACATTTTGAAAGAATAAGTATTTAAGCATATATTTTTATGATACTTAAAAATATTTTAATATAGTAATATAATATCATATTTGGAAACATTCCTTATATTCACCTCTGCCCACTTCATGTCTATATTGTTATTATACAACTCTGCCAAATTATATTCTTTTTTTTAAAGTCCCATTTTCAAAAAGCGCTTTTTATTTCTTTTTTTTAATTTTTACTGTTATTTATTTACTTTTGAGAGAGAGAGAGAGAGCATGATCAGGGGAGGGGCAGAGAGAAAGAGAGATACAGAATCTAAAGCAGGCTCCAGTCTCTGAGCTGTCAGCACAGAGCCCGATGCAGGGCTTGAACTCGTGAACCGCGAGATCATGACCTGAGCTGAAGTTAGTTGCTCAACCGCCTGAGCCACTCAGGCACCCCTGAAAAAGCACTTTTTATGATTTGCTTCCAAATAATCAGTGGGCAGCAGGGAGAGGATGTAAAAGTAAATGATAGTAGAGAGGAGACAAGATTGGTGATTGTTGAAGCTAGGGAATGTATATTGGGGGTTCATGATACTATTATTTACACTTTGTATAGTTAAAATGTTTTTCAAAATAAAACATCAAAAAATATATTTAATATGCATTCATTTAACACAAATCGAGTGTTTTACTATGGGCCATACACTGTGTAATATTCTAAGACTGTGGAAATTGGGGAGCCTGGGTGGCTTAGTCAGTTGGGCATCTGGCCCTTGGTTTCAGCTCAGGTCATGATCATGTGGTTCCTGGGATCAAAACCTGTGTCAGGCTCCACGCTGGGATTTTCTCTCTCTCTTCTCTCTCTGCCCCTCCCCTGCTTGTGTGTGCTCTCTCTGTCTCTGTCTTTATCTCTCTCTCGAAATAAATAAATAAACATTAAAAAAATACCTATTAAAAACTATGGAGATTAACAGAACAAATCTCTGACAAAAAGCGGCTTAAGGTCTTTTAAGAGGTATCAGTTTATTTATTTATAAATAAATTCAGTGTGATAAGTACAAAAATAATGTACAAATAGAAACAGAGGTAACAGAGAGGAGCCAATATTGGGTGAATATAGAGCACAGACAAGGCTTCCCCAATCCCAGTAGAAATATGTTTTTAAAAATGAATAGAAGTTTGCCAGAAGATTGAAGGGGGGGGGGGGCGTTGCAAATTATTCAAGCATGTACCTGCACGTATTACATAAAATCTCATTGGTTTAGCTACCATCACAGATGCCACCCCACCAGTGCTTGCACCAGCAGCAAGAATAGTCTTCCAGTTGACTATTATGAGGAGTAATTGAATGTAATCCATTTCCTATGAAATGGAGACCAGGTTCTTTACCAACTCAACTGCTTAAAACATGAATGAAACCTCTGTGGCTCTTCTTAAAATGTGAAACTGTGAAGAAAGCTATAAATTAACTGAATTCGCAATGCAAATATTTATTTTAATAATTAAGCAGATTCCCTCAAAAGGAGAAAGAAATGGAACTGCCTGGCTATATTCAAAGGACTGTAAGCAGTTCAGTATTACTATTTCTGGAGTAAAATGTTCAGAGGAAGAGGAGGTAAGGTTAGATAGGAAGGGAGAGGCTAGGTAAGGAAGGGCTTTGTCAACCATCCTGTGGAGGTTGAACACATCCTCTAATAAGGAGCTGCTGAAAAGTTTTAGGAAGGTGAGTGACATGATCAGTTTTAAGTCTTTGGAAGTTTACTTTGGCAGCACTGTAGCAAGTGGAATGAAGAGGAAGTCACTAAGGATGACTTCCCTGCAAAACCTCTGATAAACATCTTAATTCTGATCCTTAATTTTCTCTAAATGGCGTCAGATTTGTCTTCTCTTTGTCTTCATTTGCTAATAGTGGTCATAAGCCATTGCATGTGTGGGGTAAGTCATCTCCCAGAATTGATCGCGAGCTCTTTGACATCCAGGGCTACGTTGCTTATTAATTTCATAGTGCCTGGAACAGTGCCTATTACACAGTGCACAGTCCACAAATCTTCCCTGTCAGATTTACATTATAACTAAATGTTACACTACTATATGGTTTATTTTCATGTTGTGTGTTATTTGACTATGTGATTTAAGTTGGCCATTTAGAATGTTAGTAAATAAACCTTTGTCCTTTCAGCTACTCTTAACTATTAACATGTAATCTTTACTTTAAATATTTTATCTTTTAAATAATAGAGAGGTAAATACTCCCTACAACTCTTATAGTAGAGAGTTGATAATACCATAGTTCTCTTGCCTATTAAAATTTCCTGTTTGTCACCCTTATTGGATTCCCGGAAAATAGAAGCCCTGTCTTAATGGCTTAACCATTGTGTCTCCAGCTCTTAGCATCTGCTCAGTAAATATTTGCTGATTGAATGAATGAGCATAAGTCTTATTTTTGATATGCTTAATAATTATTTGCAATGTTAGTTCTTACATTAATAAATGATACACTATGATAATCTTGAGCAAAACTTTTATTTACCTCACACTTTTTTCCCACTAAAATTGTACCATTTGAAAGCAAAGGAGAATTAAATGTAAGAGCATGTCTCACTTATAAACTCAATATGATGTTATGTGTAATAAAATCATGTTAAGTCATAAACCATTATTATTAGTACCATTTTAAAATTCTGCAGTTTCCTTTACATGAAGATTTACCATAATTCTTTTTATATCTAAATCAGGTGTGTGAGAAAGAACTATACTGCATGGATTGGGCGGTTAAAATGATGCAAAAAGTCTGTAAAGTCTTTAGCACTCCGGTGGAAAGAAATAACTTCCTGCAGAGTGTGGCAAATGCATTTGCTTGTGTTATAATGGAAATGCTGCAGTCAGTTATGTCCGGTGAGTGTACATGTAGATGGTACACAGGTGTGAATAAAATGCATTCTAATCTCCACTTGAAACAGATAATTCTGTGTAGACTTTTACTTCTAAACTAAGAATAGAAGGAGCAGACATTTTTGGTTTGTTTTTCCATGAGATATATTTAGTTCCTGGTTTTGCTACTTTTTAAATCTGGTATGGATTTTAATGGAAAACATCAAGTTGAAGAGTCTGCTCCAGAAGGAACTCGTTTCAATTTTGCACAGTAAAATGTTAACTTGCCAACTATCATAATCATCATAATAATATCCCCTATTTTTTAGTTTCAACACATATTATTGTATAGTTTAATTAGCTAGTCAATATGATAATCAACCCTATTTTGCAGTTGAGAAAACTAAGTCTTAGCGAAATTACTTGACTTGCCCAAAGTCATATAGTTAGAGGCAGTAAAGCATGAACCAGCCCCCTTTTCTTCTACTTCTTAGTCAGTACTCATATATAACTCCCTGATTTCAGTGGTTAGTGTATGACTTAGTAAAGATAACTAACTAGTCTTCTGTTACATATTATTAGGGAAAATTGGAACATCTTGTTCTGAATAAATCATATATTTAAAAATTTAACTGTGATTTTCTTTTCCCTACTGTCCATTCCTGTGTGGCATACAGGAGACCGTGATGACGATGACAGAAGCTTTTTGAATCTGTTCCATCTTGTGCATGCTCAGGCTAACTTCCATAAGGAGGTCTTGTATTTGACCATGAATCCTCTTTCTACCTAACTACTCAGAAAGCCTTGCATTTAGAGAATACCTCACTGAACTAACAATTAGAAGAGTGCTACTTTTCCACACTCAGAGAACAGCATCCATGGGACTTTTTATCACCTAAGTAACCTAAGAACTCAAAAACCATAGAACTTTAGAGGCAACTACTTACACCATTATTAATATAAAAATTACAGACAACCCCAGGAATGTATTGAGATTTCTCTGGAAAACAAGCTGTGCCTCCAGATTTTGATAAACCTAACACCCAACTAAATAGAGCATTAGTATCCAAGAATCTGGGGCCAACCTGTATGTGTGGATGTTTGAAGCAAGGGAAAATTCTGTTTTATAGGTAGAGATGACTCAAATTCACTAAATGGCTTGTATCTGTTCACTTTGCTTAGACTGTGTAGACATAACCTAAAATGTTTTGTGAAGATTTGTAATATGATATTTTGGAATGTATAGATATAAATCACATTTTTTACTACCTTTTGGCATATGATTACAAAAAACATATATTTTGTTCATGTTTTGCATGAGCTAACAGATCAAAAACCAAAGGAAGTGTGTGTATACATACACATGCATATATATGTATGTCTGTATATATATATATATATATATATATATATATATATATATATATATACTTCCTTCTTTAAGACAAAAATCTATAAATAGAGGAAAGTCTATAGTCTTTTTTTTGAATAATTATTTATTTTTGAGAGAGAGACAGAGCACAAGTGGGGGAGGGGCAGAGAGAGAGGGAGACACAGACTCTGATTCAGGCCTCAGGCTCTGAGCTGTCAGCCCAGAGCCCAACATGGGGCTCCCATGAACCATGAGATCATGGCCTAAGTGGAAGTCAGACGCTCAACCGACTGAGCCACCCAGGCACCCCAATTAAATCATCTTTTATTCCTTCCTAGAGATTAGAGCGAAATGTTGCAAGTAAGGGAGAATATAAAATGAAAGAAAGTATTTATTCTACTGCCAGAACAATCTTCACAAGTAATTTGCACTTCTTCCTAAAGCTTTCTTCCCAAAGAGTGGGACTTGAAGGAAAGTGGAAGCACACATGGGTAGAGCAACCCTGGAGGGAGTGAGGTTTTCATTCAAGTAAATGGTTTCCAAGAGGCTCCAGGACTATTTCACTCTAACTGGCATCTACCACCACTCTTACTATTAAAGTAGAAACTAATAGTGTCTCACGGGGCTGAACTCATGCTGGAGCCTTCCCGGACCTCCCATTTTCTTCTCTTTGGGTTTGATCATTTTATTTCTGCTAAAGATACGCCCCCTCCCCCTGGAAAGGATGCTGGCTTAGTTTCTCGAAGCTCTTGACGTAACTCACCTCTGCAGCTGATGAAGGAAAGGAACACTAGAAAATATAGAAATTACCCATGTAAGTGGGATGTAAATTGTGAGAAATTCTCAAGTGTTTGGCAAGAGGGACTCAGAGATTTAATAGGATTGAGGAAGAGTGAAATTTTTGGAGAAAGCGTAAATTGTGATAACAAGATTTTACTATAGTTCAGTAGCAAAAGCACTTTCCTTCATTTCTGGAATGTCAGAAATTAACTATCTTTCTCTGATGGATGGTCCAACTATACTTCCGTTGGTGGCCGGAATTTTTTCTCCAGAGTTTAGCATTTGCATATTCATGCAGAAACAAAGTTCTTGCTTTTATCCTGGTTTCAATTTCTTCCTCTCATTTTAAGAATTCACCCAGGGGCACCTGGGTGGCTCACTCATTTGAGTGTCTGACTTCAGATCGGGTCATGATCTCGCATTTCGTGGGTCTGAGCCCCACATCAGGTTCCCTGCTGTCAGTGCTGAGCATGCTTCGGATCCTCTGTCCCAACACTCTCTGCCTCTCCCTCGCTCTCTCTCTCTCTCTCTTTCAAAAATAAATAAACATTAAATTAAAAACAAAATTCACCCACAATTAAATTAGAAAGATTAAAAGTTGGCAGATACCAGAGTACAAAATAATACCTTGATTTTAGCCTTTTCTTCTCCCTCTCACTCTTTTTCCTATACACGCTTTGGAAAACCTAATCCATTTATTTATGAAAACACTGGTGATTCCAAGTTGCCAATATACCTATTAGATTATTTGGGGAGAAAAAAGGAAAATGGGGGGAAAGTAAAATTTTAAAATAAACAGTGAATATCTTTAGTATTTTACTAAATAGATGTTAAGTTTCATTCTCTTACAGAAAGAAATTTGGCATTGTGAAGTTTTCTTGAATTCCTTGAATTATCCCAGTCTCCACACCGGTTATTTTCAGCACGTTTACCAAAGAAGCATGGTTTAACTTAAAACATTTTTAAAAATTTATTTAAGTATGCTCCACACCTAATGTGGGGCTTGAACTCACAACCCTGAGATCAAGAACCGCAGGCTCTACCGACTGAGCAGGTCAGGTGCCCCTTAACTTAAAACATTTTTGGAGCCAATTTTCAATCTCATTATACACTTGAACAGACTTGACTGTTGCTATAGAATGTTTTAAAAACATCATTGTATTATCCCGGATAATTGTGAGACTATTATCTCATCCACCCCCAAAATTTGGAACATAAAGAAGTCTGATTCATTCTTTAGGTACAGTAGATACATGAAAAGAAAGTGAAAAGAAAAAGCTTACCAATAAAAAGTAAACTGACAAGTTCTTCATTCAGTTATTAATAGATAAGAATAACGTTGAAACTAAACTTGCAATTTCCTCAATTCAGCAGCCCAGTTTTTTGCCAAATACATCTGTCATCAGGAATGAAGTGTGACATCAGATGTTAAGGTGGGAGATTAACTTGCAAAAGCACGTATTATTATCACTGGTATTGATGATTAAGTGACGATGTAGACATTCATAGTGCTACCGAAAAAGGAGCACTTGCAAAATGAATGGCCTAACCATAACCAGGAGACTGGCCACTGCTAACTTGAGAACAGTTATAACAACGTGAGCTGCTAACAGGTCAGATCATTTATCCCATATCTTTTTCTAAGTTAGAAGATTGACCTGGTCTTCTAACTCTTTTTTACCTTTTAATAGTGATTCCCTCAGTCTCCTTTGACTTTCATTTGATGCTGAGTTTTACTTCTACTAGAAGGCAAACCCAATGACACATCATTATATTTATCTTTACCATTGTTTCTAAACACACACACAACCCCATACTGACAAACTAAGGACACTTCTTTTCCTGGAAACTCATTTAAAGCTTTTATCTTGTGAGATAAATAGACTGTACCTTAAGAGATCAGGGAACATCTATCTAACCTTAACACTTTTTTTTTTTAATAATTGTGTCTCATGCTCTTTGGACCCCTTAACTTCTTTATCATATTCACAAAGCAGGCAGTAAATTACTAAATTTGGGCAGCAGTTCAATCATTCAAGAAGTTCAGGTGGTTGCCTGTCAGGCTGTTCTGCATAGCATGAACAATAGACACCTTATTTCACACTTTTCCCATCTTCTGTTGACTTAGTTCTTGCTTCCAGTTCTTCTGTTATCACAAAGATTTTTATTGCCAGGATAATCATTCACCTCAAATGGAGATCAGAGCAAGCATGAGGTTTACAGGAAAAGATGCAACTGGAAGAACCATCTTATGTCAATAAAAAACAAACCTTAACCTCTTTGTGTGTTTGTCGCTCAAGAGTTAGCCTCTTTAAGTGAATAGTATCCAATTATACGATTACAGATTTCTTTGTCATTAAGTATTGTGAAGGGTAAAAACATAAAACTGTTACGCTCTTTGGTTGCTGGACACCTTACTAGAGATGTCACTTCTTTCAATTCCACTGGCAGGTGGCAGTGAAACCTGTAAGAAATCAGGTTATGGACATATGTTTCTTCGTTGATTGAGATGTCGCTAAGATAGGAAAAATGACCTGAAAAACTATTGGATAGTCTTCTCTAGGTTAAAAAAAAAAAAAGTGCCGAAGTACTAAGGACACATTTGATTTTCATCAAGAAAGCAAATACAATTTCAGAAACTTCCTTAAGTAACCAGAGATATAAAAAAAGGCTTAGTGTAGCCCTTGAAAGGCTTTCTTATAAATGTGTACAAAGCTGAAAAATATCAGTGTTATTTTTAAAGTATTATATTTATGATAAATGTCTTTGATACCTAAATATTTAATATTTGCTAAATTTTATTTAATTTGTTATTTATTCATATTAATAAAATTAAAATTAAAAACATTCTAACTTGTTCAGAGTTTTGTCATTATGTAAGTCATTGAATGTAATTCCTTTAACTTTTTTTAACATTTATTTATTATTGAGAGACAGAGAGAGACAGAGCATGAGCATGGGAGGGGCAGAGAGAGGGGGAGACACAGAATCCGAAGCAGGCTCCAGGCTCTGAGCTGTCAGCACAGAGCCCGATGCGGGGCTCGAACTCACAAACCACGAGATTATGGCCTGAGTTGAAGTCGGGCGCTTAACTGACTGAGCCACCCAGGCACCCCAAATGTAACTCCTTTAAATTATTTCTTGTGGAGGAACTTATTTTTATTTAAGCTGTTAATTATAGCTCTACCATGATCAAAACAAAACATCTTAATATAATGTTGCAATAAGCTATATATCTATGTATACTTATGCTTAATACTATAGCATATAAATTAATTGGTTAAATAATTTCATTTGCTACCAAAAACTCATAAATTGAACAATAACCTATAAGTAGATCAGTATTCTATACTATTCTGCTATTTAATTCAGAGACCAAATTCTAAGCAATTGATATTCCAAATACTACAAGAATAGTTTAACATCAGTTTCAAAAAACAAAATATGTAATTAAGTATTGTGGATTGATTGCAGTTTCCCATGACAACAAGATCTGTTTTTCTAAGATCAAAAAAGTTCTTAAGTATTTCTAGATGGATCTGCATGTTTGAGTTTATAATGGAAGTTGTGTCAATGGCTTTTTCTGTTTCCTCTTTTATATGTGACTGGTTTTATTTTTGTTTAAAATAGATGGGAGC